AAAAAGCTTATTCTAAAGATGCATGTGAGTGAGAGTAATTTTTATTTTTATCTAACGTAAGAAAATTTATTTCATTTTAAAAACCTTCCTATTTGTTTTTAAGAATTGCAAAAGTTACTAGTTACTTGTTTATTATTTACTTTTACTCATAACTTAATTATTTTTACACAGATCTCAGTGATTTTAATGGAAAAATTAATTACTTAACTCTTGTAGTTCCATCTAGCTTGTGACTTATTCCTTATAATTTAACTCATTGTAGTTGAATTCTTATACTTTCTTTTCTTTTGTCTTCTTCATTCATCCCTATTTTTCAAAAAGTAACCAAGTCCTTAGTAACTCATCCTATGTGGCACCTATGGTAATTAATAGTTTTACATTGCTTAGTTGACAGTCTTATTATTAGTGCCACATTAGATAAAATAAAACGAGAATGATTATTCTTTAAAAAAATGTAAACTAAATAAATATTGCTAGCCAAAGACAAAGCACAAAAGGCAAATTAGACACAAGAACCTATTTGTTTTCATTAATTATTTAGGTCCTTTCTCATAATTATCTAGGTCTTTTTCTATAATTTTTTAGCACAAAAAAAACAGTGGATTTCCATCACTAATCAATAAAAATTCCATTGCCAAGCAGGTTAGCAATGGAATTAGTACTGGAATAAGTCTATCAATAAAAACACTGTCACTAATTCATTAGCAACAGAATTTGAAAAGCAATAGAAAATTTCCACACTAAACAAGAATAAGCTATTTCAATTCTGTGATGAAATGCATTCCATTACAAATGAGTTTCATAAAATATCACCATTGCCATGTCACCTACTGGGCCAATGCCACCTCATTGCCATGTCACTACCACTTCACCACCACCTCCCTGCTATGTCATCTCTACATCATATATTAACTTCAAATAACTTTAAATGTGCCCTGGTCAAGTTTGAACCCATAACCTCACATCTTTATAAGCCTTTGTGTCCAACCTTATTGCTAGTTGAACTAAAGGAGATCTTTAGTTCTTAAGTTCGAATCCATAACCTCACACCTTTATGAGCCTTTGTGCCCAACCTTATTGCTAATTGAACTAAAGGAGATCTTTAGTCTTTAATTGATAAATTAAATATATAATACTTAATTGCCCATATATATATATATCAATAAATATATAATTTAAATATATATATATATTTATTTAACATTATTTTTATTTATAAATAAAATTAATTAATTGTTTATATAATAGTTATTTATAATATATTATATTTTTTAAAAAATTATTTTTATAGAAAATTTAATATTAAAAAAATATTTTATTATCACTATATATTATATTATAATTTTTATAATATGTAATATTTTATATTTTACATTTATTTTTTAAAAATAATTTTATTTTTAAATAACAATAATTAGGTATTTCACCATGTTATCACAAAAATAATTAAATATACAATTTAAATTATTATAATTATTATTACTATCTAAATAATTTAAAATAATAACTTATAGTTATTAAATTATTTATTTATTTCATAAGAATAAATTATATATATTATGAATCATATAATAAAATTTAAAACAATTTATGATGGAATTAGCAATGAAATTATGATGGAAAGGTTTGCGATGGAATGTTCCTTCACAAATACTATCACAAAATGAGAATAACATATCTTGAAAATTAGAGACAAACATTTATATCAAAAAATTTTGTTGCTAAATTATTTTTGATGATTTAGTGATGGAATAATGATAGAAAATGCCATTTGTAAAATTATTTCTGATGGTTTGGTGACAAAATAACTACTAATTTTTAGCAATGAAAGTCAGTAAATTTATTTCATCGCTAATTCACTATTTTTTGTAGTGTCTCTCTATAATATAGTTAGTTAATCATTAAATTAACAAATATTTAATGGGGAAACGACATTACTTCACTTTTAAAGTATGGGGGGAAACATTGAGCCGCCCTTGATTTGAGGGTGCCCAATGAGTACCCAAATGCTTGTCAAATTAAAAAAACTTTAACTCATAAAAAAAAAAAAAAACGCGCGCGCGCACACGCAACACACTGATTAGCACTAGATGCTTGTTGACAACTTCTCTCTCTGTCTCTATCTCTCTCTCTGCTACCATTTTTTGGGATGTCAAATTTTTTTGAGAAAACATATCTATAAGTCCTCACAGTTTTACTCAATTTTGAATTAAATCCCTGCAATTTATTTTATTTCAATTGAGCCCTTATAGTGTGATCAATTAAATTTTTCAATCCCCAAAGGTTAAAATCCTTAAATTTTTTCTTTTCAAAAACAAAATTAAGAGCTTTTATATTTTTGTTAAATGATTACATGATCTTAGAATTAATTAAATAATTTTTATAACTCAAAGTTTATATAATTATGTTATCTCCTAATATTTTTTATAATTATAAAATTTTCATAAAAATTAATAAAAATGTAAACAGTATATTAAATCAAATTTTCTTTTTTTTTAAATTTTGGCTAAATGTATTGAATTAAATTTTCTATAAACTCTAAGAGTATTTTTGTTTTGTGATATTTTATATTACATTAATAATTTTAACTTTCAAGGGTTAACATATATAAAAAATGAAACTATAAGGGCTTGATCAAAACAAAATAAACTATGGGAACCTAATTTAAAATTGAGTAGAACTGTAAGAATATGCAAAAATATTTTCCCATTTTCTTTTGAATGAACAGATGTCAGTGTAAATAATGAACAACATATAATATATGGCTTTGCATATAATTAATTTGGTGCATGTACAACAAAATTTATATAACTAGATTGTCTTCTAAATATTTTTTTATACTTATAGAATTTTCATAAAAAATTAATAAAAATATGAACAGTGTATTAAATCAAATTTTTTTTTTCAATTTTGGCAAAAAGTATTGAATTAAATTTTCTATAAAGTCTGAGAGTATTTTTTTTATATTCAATGTTTCATTATTAATTTTAACTTTCGAGGGTTAACATATATAAAAGATGAAACTATAAGGGCTTGTTTAAAACAAAATAAGGGACCTATATATACTATATATTGTCTAAAAGGTCAATGCAATGTGTTTGCCTAATGATTTGTGTTATGATTTGTTAATATATTTAATTGTATTGAACAGTGTGGTATCGTTATGTTCATGTCTAATATTTAATTTTTTTTTTCCAGTATAAGTTATGGGACGAATTTGTGTGCACTTATTGTAAATTTGAATAGGCATATATGTCTAAAATCCAAAGATTCCATTTTAATTTTATATGTTCCTCAATAATCTCATAAAGTTATATTGTATCATTTTAACACATTGCATGTAACTTTAAAATTACAAAATATTTCTCTTCTTACAAAATCATCTCATATAATTGGGTTTAAATTAATTTTTTATTACATACCAAGATGTGTCGGAAACTTGATTTTTCTTAATTAAAAACAATTAGATCTTGGTCACATTAATTTACAAGGTATTCTGTTAATAGATTATATTTTGGTACCATTCATCATCTTTTCTTTTGTCTTTTGAAACTTTGATAATTATGAACATATGCTAATAGCTTTCTGGTCAAAATACAGTTAATTATTTTTACCAAAAAATATAGTTAATTATTTGTAATATTAAAGTTGGAAATATTCATTCGAGTGACAATGTCAATATCTGTATCAATATTAAAATATAAAGTGTTCATTTCAATTGTTCACTTAGGATTATAAAGGGGAATTTAAAATGGAAATATAAAACTTTCAATTCTTATAATTTTATGAAGGTTAAAAAATACACCAGTTTTACGTGTAAAATTAAACTGTTTTTGGGTAAAGCTAAACTTTATTTCTATATAATCTTTTTATTTGGGATTAACTCTTTAGTTTATGTTCATTTAACATGGGACTGATATGATTATCTTTTAATTAGTTCTGCAAGTAAATAATATAATAAAAAATAATTGTTTGATGATCTTAAACATATCAAATTTATCGAAGAGCTTCAGCACAAGTGGGAAGTGTTACAACCACATTGTTTGTAATATACATAATCACACATAGATATGATAACTCTACTAATTAATTATTACACCATGAATTAATGATATTTTTAATATTTGTGATAATTAAGTTTTCCAAAAAGCTATTTCAAGTAACTCTTTTAACTTTTTCATTGAGTAGCGTTTACTCTTCCCTCTTTGCCCTTTTGTCCATTTCTCTTTCCTCACTTTTGACCTCTATGCTTCGTCTTCTTTTGTGATGGGGAGGAATTAAAACCATGGGAAGATATTAAAATAATTATTTTCTATTCTCCCACTTTTATCATTTTTGCGTTCATTTTATTGAAGACATATTAAAATAATTATTTTGATACATTTTATTTTAATATTTAAAAAATGGAAGATACTACAATACATGATAATAATTAATTATAAGAACGAAAATATTTGTGTTATGTGAAAAAAATTATATATATATATATATACTTATATATTTAAGAGGCATATTTCTAGTTAAATTGATACTGCAGACCTTTTTATAAGTTAATATTTTATAATTTATCTACTTATTTTATATTTTTAGAATTTAATATTTAGTAATTTATTAATTTTATTTATATTTTTATAATTTATAAATAGTACTTAAGTGTATATAGACTATTTTTGTAAAATTATAATTTAAAGATTAAAAATTTTTCTTAAATTAAAATTCATGTATTTTTTGGTCATTATACACCTAAACTTGCTTTGGAATTTTATCATTCAAACAAGTTCTATTTGTTAAATTTATTTTTAAGAAAAATGTATCCAAACATAAATTAGTTAATGTTGCTTATTTTTATCCTAAGTTCAGCTGTTTGCAAACCGCAATTCTAACTTTAATTTTACAATTTCTAATCCAAATACACCTTAATTATTATTATATATCACATCTCCTTGTTTAATTCTATTTCTTATTTATTTTTATTTTCCTTTTTCTTTATCAATTTGCAGGAGATATTCCAATAGAGATTGGCCGTCTTCAAAATTTAAAAATTCTATATTTGGATACTAATAAGCTTTCTGGTCACATGCCATCAAATATCTTCAATATATCAGAGTTCCAAGAGATTGATTTAAGCTGGAATAATTTGTCAGGAAGTATTCCCTCTAATATTTGTCATGGACTTCCAAAATTACAAAGGCTGCATCTTCAAAAAAATGAATTATCAGGAGCCCTGCCATCTAATTGGATACAATGCAAAGAGCTCAAAGACTTACAATTAGAATACAACTCTTTGACAGGTATGTGCTATCTGACTATTTCAAATCTTCAACTTTAATTTCTTTGCTAATATATTTTAATTGTATTTTAATGATTTTTGATTGGTAAGACAATAAAAAATAGAAAAATCTTTATCTTTTATTTTAATTTAGGAAAATTTAATTCTGAAGTCCCTACATTTTATTTTTTAATCAAGCAATTATAGTTTGATCAATTCGACATGTTAATCCTTGAGGTTAAAATTATTAATTTTTGATTAATTGTACAAAGCTTTTGAATGTAGAAGGGGAGAATTCCCGCTAGGTCTCTTTTACGGACATTTTCATTTAATTGCAAAGGACTTGAAATAAAAAAAATCAGGTTTATTTACTAAACCACAATTTCAATAAAGAAAGGTATTTTATTAAAAAAAGCGAGTATTGTCATAATTTTTGTTTTGTTTTTAATTTTATAAAAATTTCTCGGGATTTAAATGAAAATTTTTTAATTTAAAATCTATATGAATTCGGGTATTGTTTTTCACTTAATCCAAAACTCGTTTATCTTTTCAATTTTCATTTTTCTCTTATTTTCAATTTAGCTTTATTTTTCCTATATAATTCAAAAAAAATAATATTTTAAATTTTAAATGTAATATTTTTGAATAATAGTTTAAAACTAATACATATTTAAATAGTTAAGTATATATGGTTTTCATTTAGGATTGAAACTATTTTTATCAGTTTTCAACTTCATTTTAACATTTAAAATATTTATAAAATAGGATTTTTATTAAAATTATTATAAAATTTAAATAATAATATATTGTATTGATTATGATTTCGTAAAACTTGTGATATGTTATTAGGCTAAAATACATAAAAGCTCCTTGAACTTTGAGGCAATTTTAGATGACCCCCCTCACCTTTAATAACCCCTAACTTTTCATTTTTATTTTCAAAACTCATACCATTAATTAACTAGATTTTGTTATCAATAGAATTTCATATCAGATTAATGAAATATAGCTGGCAAATAACATGGAAAAAATATTTTTATTATTTTTTAAGATAATTTAAGGAGGGGCAAAACCATAAGTTTTACTTTTAACACAGCTGAATATCTAAATTAAAAAAATATCTAAAAGCTATCATTGATTGACAAAGAATATCAAAATTATAGTTTAATATAAAAGGCTGTTTTAATTGATAAAGAATAATTAAATTATAATTTTTTTCCTTAAATTTTGTTCATTGTGAACAATAAGAATAATGTCTCTCAACTAAGAAAAAATGAGAGCATTGTCATGTTTGCAAAATTAAAAAATACAATTTTACTACCACATAACAGAGTAAAAAATAATAAAAATGATTTATCATATATGGACACTCGTAGCATTAAGCCATTTTTCTTATATCTTTATCCAAATATTACTACTACATTTTTTCTTCCTAGTTGTTTTCTTAGTATTATTATGAACTAAAATGCATTTTCTCTTCCTATTATTCCTTTTGTTTATAAATTTTTGTAAGCGTGAATTTTTCTTTTCCAACATTTCTTTACGCATAAAGATAAATCTTTAATGTTGGTTGGCCGAAAGAAGTCTTTGATTATTTTTAATTTTATTGCATATTAGGATGTCTTGTGAGCATTTTATTTGTTTGGAATAGACAAAGTTCCACTTGGACCGAGGAAAAAGGATTTGCAATAAAAATTTGTTCTCTAATCTAATTAAAAAAAATGCATTTCTTGTGAAAATACAGTTAATTAATATATTAGAGTTGATTTACATATACTGAGTGATAATATTAATATAAACATCAGTTTTAAAATATGATGTCTCGATCTCACTTGTTCCCTTCAAATTATAAACTAGAAATAAAAAAAAATGGAAATTACAAAACTGCAGTTCCAATAGTTTTATCAATTTTAATTTTAATGCGACATTAAATGCTTCCATTATATATTGTCATTGTGCATAAAATTTTGTTTCCATAAAATCATTTTGTATGAGATTAATTAGTTAGTTCACTTTCATTATATATGTAGTAGGTATTAAAAAGATATTCCCTTATAAAAAGTTGGCAGATTAGTTTATTGTGACATTTTATTAGTAGCCAGAGGATCATAATACACGTGAATGCATGATATCTCTATAATCCTTTTTACCCACAGTTGTTCTTTATGGGATTTCCAAAATAATTGAAAACCGAACTAAAGTTCCCCACCCGTGTAATAATGTGTGTTGTGTGTGATGAATGTATACATGGAATTACATTTATTAACATCTCTTCGAAGCCATGAGTTTTGAAGGATGATTCCTTGAATTTTATTTTAAATAAAATGGTAATCATTTAAGGGATGATACAAACTCAAACTAAAAAAATGATAATCCAACCCCTCCGTGAAAAGCAACCTAGCTATGTATATACACTTGTTATAAAAAAAAAAGTAATACCTCCATTCTAATTTATAAGACATTTTTAGACAAGAGCACACATATTAAACAAGTTCATTAAATACACTTTACAACCTTAATATTTCAGGATAAAAATTTAAAATTTTAAAAATATCATTCATTTAATACTCCCTTTGTGAAAGAATATTAAAGAGAGAGAATATTGAGAAGGATAATATCAGAAAAGCACTAGTAATGAAACTATTTTTTTTTTTTTTGTTAAAGTGTATTATATTTTGGAACGTCAAATCTATTCAAAAAGTGCCTTATAAGTTGGGATAAAAAGAATACTTAAATTAAGTACTTTTTATAGTGAGTAGCATTTACTCTTCTCTCTCTGTGTTTTTTTTTTTTTTTTCCTATTCCCCTCTTCTCAGTTTTGATCTCTATGCTTTGTCTTCTTCCGCTATGACGGGAAGGAGTCAATATCATTGGAAGATTTTAAAATAATTATTTTCGGTTGTACCACTTTTATTATTTTTTTGGTGCCTTTTATTCAAAATATATTGAAATAATTATTTTGATACATTTTATTTTAATATTTATAAAAAGGAGAATATTATAATTCGTTGATAATAAAAAATTATATGCATGTAAATTAGTTAACGTCAATGATTTTTATCCTAACTTATGTTACTCAATTTATTCTAACTTCAATTTTGCAATTTCTAATGCAAACACACCCTAAAGTCAATCTTATCAAATACTATTTTGATTGCAAACTTGAGAGACTGAGTCATAATAAGTTAAATTTAAATGATTGAGTCATAATTAAGTTAAAAGTTGAAGGATCAAATAACTACTTTTTCCAATAAAAAAATTAGTTCATGGGAATTTAAAAATTATGATGTCAAGTAACTACTTTTCCCAATAATGATCTCTCCCACTCCCACCATTGCGTTAAACACCTAGTTAAATATTTTTTAATCTACGTGAAGCTCAATAAAATATATATTGAAACATTAAAGACAATATATATAACCCAAAAAGCTGTTCTAGAATATTAAAAAAATTATTTTAGTATTCAACTTGTATGTTATATAGAAAAAATAACTATTTTTTATGATCTAGTCTTTTTTTTTTTTTCTGGCTACATGTAACTTGTGATATTATATGAAGAGTGTAATGTTGAATGCATATAGAACCAAAAAAGGGGAAAAAAGAAAAGAAAAAAAAATTGCATGCAATTGGCATTGTAGGAGGGGATCCAGTTCCACGTGTCACGGGTTATATTTTTATTTTGAAAATTTGGACAGTAATCATCAAATTATAAGTATATGACTTTTTTTTCCTTTTCATGTTTTTTGCGAATAATAATTATAAAAATCATATTTTTGTAAGAACATTCCATTAAATATTTTATAAGAATTGGATGATTTTTGAAATTAAATAAAAAAATTATAAACTTGAAAGATGATGCCTTGCTGAGCATTGGCCTCAATTATCTCATAAAGTTATATTTTATCATTTTAACACATTGCATGAAACTTTAAAATTACAAAATCTATTTCTCCTTACAAAGTCATCTCATATACTTGGATTTAAATTAATTTTATTTTTTAAAAACTTGATTTTACAAAGACATCTTAATTAATGTTCTTTATTATAATTATTGTTTGTAATTCTAAATTTTTTTTATATATGTAAGTCTTTATGACCAAAGTATTTTGTGAATTTTGATTTATATATTCATTTATATTAATTTTATTAATATTACATAAGCCATCACATGATTTCAAAAGTACACAATTAAATTTAATTTTTAACTCTTTTATAAAAAGTACTATATCAAAGATTCTAAAATAATTTTTTATTTATTAAAAAGTGCATCTTAGCAATTTAAACTTACTTGTTTACTCTTGTTAAACACCATTAATTCCATTCCTAATTTATATCACTCTCCCTCCCCCGCCTTTGCACAGAACAATGCAAGTATGCAACAATGCACCTTTTTTGTATTTATCTAATCATTTATGCGGCAATTTCTACATTCTCATGCTCTTGCAAGCAACAAGAAAGGCATTATTTACATTTATCTTCACCATCATTGATCATTGTACTTTAGAGCCCTAAGTTACACATTTAGATTTGTGGCCTACATGCACATGAATTGTGTTGTGAAATTTACAACACTTTGGCGTCCATCAAATATCGAATTGTATTACTCTGTTTTTTGGATTTCAAAACAGAGGTAAGCATGCAATACTGTTATTGATTACATGAAGATTTACCCTTCCAAATCTGTGGTCTTTTCATTTAAGTCTCTCAATAGTTTATTTTTCTTCTATTTATTTTTCAATAATCAATTCAATGAAGATTTTCCTTTTAATTTAAACTATCAGATTATGGGTTGTCTATATCTTTAATTTGTAGCTCTATTTGAACTTCTCCTTAACTATTTTTGTTGTCTTCTTTTGACTTCTGTTTTCTCAATCTTAGAAGTCGTTCTTTGTTGCTTGTTTGGAAAGCCAATTTTTGAGGAAAAAAATCTTAAAAAATGAGAATTGTGGAATGATGTTGAATATATAATCTTTTTATATAAAGCTTGTCTGAAGTGAAAGTTATTATTTACATAATTATTATTTAGACCTCATTAGAATTTCAGATTGGAGATAATATTTGAAATGTGTGTATGTATAGATTTATATATTAATGTTGAAGTACTGTAAATGTCCAATCATTATCATAGCTGTTTAATAATTGAGATAAAAGTTTTTTTGGCCAGACATGAAAACAGGTTTAAGTTTACTAGTTAAACTCGTAGCTTTTGTTTTGTCAAATGAATAATACAATCTTAAAAAATTCCTTTTATCTAAAATCAAATATGTGATTTCACCCAAAACAAAAAACAAAAATTGAAAACATGAACCATCACTGCACGCATAGTCTAAATTTTTTTAGTTATGCGAAGCTCAACAAAATATGTATTAAAAATTGAAGAGTGAAAGAGAATACGTAAAAGCCAAATAGCCGTACTTATTTTTTCTGTTAGATTTAAATGTTTTAATAATGAAGTATAATATTTTAAAATTTTTTAATTTAGTGTCTAACTTGTACATCATACATAAAACGTATATATATATATATATATATATTTTACAATCTATCTTGTTATGTTACTTTTTTCTTCATGCCTCTATCCAGCGAATTGTTGGGGAAAAATGACAAGACTATGTTCCAATTTTTATATTCAAATTTCCTGTACTTTAATCTATCTTGTGGTATGTATATTCCTTGGGGTATATTTCTTGCTTAGATAAAATGGGAAACCTTTATCTTATTTTTATTGAATCAAAGCTCTTCTTTAACAAATATGAAATTGCTACTCATTTTTGTTTTTATGATATCTTATCATGCATCAGTATTAAAATGAGCTCTTTTTTTTTTGGAATTACTATGCATATGGCAAGAAATTATATTTCCAGGAAAAATCATGTGTAAGAATAATGCCTTGACAATCATTTGATTAACTCATGCTAATTAGAACATGCTTCAAGAAGGTTTTTACATGTTTGGAAAACCATTTCGTCAAATATATATATATATGAATAATAGTGCAGTGATGATGTGTTTGTAAAATTTCTCTCATTTTTCTTTTAGTTTAAATTCATTTCTACCTTTTTTATTTGCTTCAAACATAATTACAATTTTAATACCTTGAAAGGTATGCATGAGTATTTTTTTTATTTTGATTTAATTAATACTCCACAAACTCATTTGTTTTTATTTACATCTTCACTATCTTTGATCATTATACTTTAGATCCCTCAACTACATATTCAGATTCATGGCTCCATACAAGAATTGTGTAGTGAAATTTGCAACACTTTGGTGTCCATCAAATATAGTAATTTCTCAAGGCTAAATAAAAAAAAATTCCTTTTCTTTTACAACAAGGATTTGAACAAAGGACCTCATGATAAGCTGCCAGCAGAGTTTCCATTGAACCACCAATTTTTCTTGATAGATTTATCTCAAAATTTATAAAAATAATCTTAAAATACCTTACCATAAAATTTAATTCCTACTAAAATTCTTGGGTTATTATTACATTTGTGTACGTGCAAAATATCCTTTGTCTATAATTCTCTATTCATAAAAATAATTTAGTTTTGGTTAGCTAAAAAGAGACTTTAGTTGTTAATTTTAGTGACATTGGTTAGGATGTCTTCTCTTCTAAAGCATTTGAGCTCTTTTTGTTCATATTATGTTTTTATTTGCAACATTTTTAGATTATTTTCTAAGAATGACTATGAACAGGATGCATTTTATTTTTCATTTTCACCTTTATAAGTTTGTGCATTTGCAAAATTTCCTATTGTAATAATTCTTTATGCATAAAAATTTGGTTATTTTAAATTTTAGGGATGCTAGCTTGGGAAGCCAATTTTTAGACAGAACCGAGATATGCTGTTGTTACATGCAATAAAATTTTTTGGTGATTTCCATTTTTGTTGTTGTAATAATTTTGACTTAACTAACATTGAAAACTTAACTATCCTCCTAACAGCTCATGATGCGTTACTGTAAAAATTTTCAACTTAACTATACATTCAGATTAGTAGCTCACATGCACAAGAATTCTTTACTTTGTTTACCTCTGTTTTCTGGGCTAAAAAGTATAGTTAATAATATAATACTGTTCTTGATGATTCTATGAAGATTTTCCCTTCTAATCCCATGCTTTGTATTTTTGAATCTCTCAATACTTTCTTTTTCTTCTATTTGTTTTCCTATTTAGAGATGAATGAGAGATAGATATTGAACTATCAGATTATGGGTTGTCTATCAACATAGCTCTATCTCAACTTCTCCTTTATTGTTTTCATTATCTTAACTTCTTTTGCCTTCCCTTTTCCTAAATTGATGAAGAATTAGTTATTAATAGTTTTAAAAAATTATCATACATTTTACATTCCCCTTTTATTTCCAACTTCAAGAGTTATATTTTGATCGAGCACAATAAATTTGATGAATCTGTTTTATATAACATTGTAGGAGATATCCCCGAAGAGATTGGTAATCTTAAAAGTCTAGAACTTTTATATTTAGGCAGAAATAAGTTTTCTGCCCAAATTTCATCAGCTATCTTTAATATGTCTGAGTTGCGGAATATTGATTTAAGTTGGAATAATTTATCGGGAGGCATTCCTTCTAATATATGCAATGGACTTCCAAATTTACAACATTTGGGTCTTCAAGGCAACAAATTATCCGGACCTATACCATCTGATTGGACACATTGCAAGGACCTCAAAAGGTTGACATTAGAAACCAACTTTTTCAAAGGTATGTGCTACTCACTATGTCAAATCTCTAAATTCAGTCTTATCAAATATATTCTGATTGTACCTTTATGCATTTGACATTGGTATTGATCAAAACAATAAAACAAATTGGACTTCTTTATATCCTATTTTCATTTAAATGAAAATCTACTTTGAGAAATTAGTTTATATTTATAAAAATAAACAAAATTTCAAGAGCCCGTATCAAACATGTTTTGGAAAAAAAATAAAGTAAAGTAAAAATTTGATATTATTTTTATTAAATATAAAATTAATTCATATAATTTTTAAATTGTGTTTTCCTAAAAGGCTTGCATTGTAGTTCGCAACCAACTTTCCAGTTTCCATCTTCCATATAGGCAAACATATTACATACCCGTGTACATGAACTTAAAATTTAAAAACAAAATGTATATAAACATAGTAAATGACACTATCAGATTGTACCCTTGTATATGTGAACCTGGCATATTTGGACTATAATAATTTTCTATCTATATATATATATAGAAAATTTTCTGTTCAATTTTTTATTTTCATTTTACTTTTACAGTCTTATGAAATATCAAACTCTTTGATACAAATTAATTTGCTTTTTTCGTGAAAACAATAATTATAAGAATATTTTTATTTGTCAAATTGAAATCCCCTGAGGTGTATTTACATAATTTATTTGTCAAATTAATTCCCTTTCTATTACAGCGTTAATGTCAGAGAGTGGATCTGGAATATAGTTCAACTCCATCTATATTCCTTTTATTTTGATTTCATTTTGTTTAGAAATAAAACAACTCCATATCCTGCAAATAAATGGGTTATTAAATCAGGTAATAATTGAGAAGCTTTCATATGTATTAGAAAGAAAGAGAAGGAGGATGGAAGAGAGGGAAAGAACAAAAATAAACAATTTTCTAATTTTAAATTTTTTTACATAAAAGAAATTATTTTTAATGAATCATATTATATTTATAACAAATAAAAACAAATAAATAGGCTCTATTAAAACTATTTTGAAAAATAAAAATATTTAAATAAGCAAAAGCTCAATAGCCCATGTGTTACTATCTATTTTTTCCTTTTTAAATGATTTTTCTGGGATCATTTTAAATAAACTATATTTCCTGTTTATTATCATTTTCATTTGTTCTTTTACCATATTGTTGGAGATATCCTAAAGAAATTGTGGAGATCATGGAAATTTAAAAATTATGAAGCCATATAAATCGCTCTAGAGTGAGCTCATGTTATGATCTCTCCCCTCCCTCCTCTGCATATTAAGCACCTCGTCATTTCTTCCCTTCTAGAAGTTCCATGCACTGTCTCCACAAAACAACTTTTTGTCTTATTGTCACACAAAATATAAAGAGGCACACACTGGATCTTACTTTGATTACCATATGTTTAGGTCATCACAGAATACTTTTAGTCTTAGGCCGATACATAAGCCCTCCTATAAAAAATATTTTTTGTTCTAGAATAATTTCTTTAATTTACTTAAAAAGGGGTAATTCTAGAATCTTTAGATTGTTAACAAAATTAACAATGTAATGGCAATATTTTGGTAAAACTAAAAGTGTCAATCTTCTTTCAGGCCATATATCAAAAAGCATGGGAAACTTAACTATGCTTCAATTGTTACGTCTTGAAGACAATAACCTGGAAGGTATACATCCATTAACAAATACTAGCATTGTGATGTTTATTTTGTCTGATGCAAATCACAAGAAATATCCCTAATAAAATAGGTGATCTTGAAAGCCTAAACTTCGTAGATGTGTAGATATGTTTCAACAGTTTAATAAATTATATATAATTGCTACAATCATTTGTTCAAGTTTACAATTTTTTGGGCAAAATCAGAAACATCAATTACATTTTTTTTAGGTTTTTGTTTGTTACCACATTGTAAAGATATTTCATAAGAAATTGTCATAGTTGAAATTGAATATCTAAACTTAAATTATAATATGTTTTCTCAATTTTAAACATTGAAATGTGAAGTATATGTACATTTCAGACACCAAAAACTTGACTTTGTTTATTTTTTTATATATAGACTAAAATGCTCAACTTTTTCAATGGTAACAATAAATAAAAAATATTTATCTTTTATTTTTTCTAAGAGAATTTTTTTAGTAAATTGAATTATATTTATAAAAAAATAGGGTTAGAAACCTAATTTAACCATATTTTTTTCAAGGAGTATTGTGTACCCTGTAGTAAAGGGTGGGGTATCCCCCTAAACAATTACTTTAAGGCGGTATTTAACAAAGGAACAATATTTCTCCTTAAAAAAAATTGTTGGGGGGCAAGCGTATTGCAATATCCTATTTTAGGAACCATTATTTGGCAATGAAAGCTATCTTAGATTTTAAGAGGAGAAATTAGAGACAAGGACTTTCTTGTTTCCTTTTAAAGCTAAATAAGCTCTCTATATAGGGAAAATTCTAAACTAGACTTTGACTGAGCCATTTAATAAAGTTTTCCCGTTTAGTTAAATTGCTCTGTTTTGCATTTTCCAACATTTCAAAGTTATTGCCTTAACATTGAAAATTAATATCTCATGTTATAGAGATCCAATTAACATGATCTAAAGTTTCATTGAAAGCTTAGGAAGTTCTCCGTAATGGAAAATTATGAAACAGGGCGTTTGTTGGCCCAGATGATGCAGTTTAATAAACAAATACAACTTTGTATAGAAGTCTTTTCTTTGGCTATAGATTCCTTTCTCCATCTTGTAAAATTTATTACTTCAATTCTAGAACACCAATTCACATGATCTTGGGCTTGTTGGAAAGATTAGAATGTTCTCTATAAGGGAAAAAATATCAAACATGAGTTTAGTTTTCCCCATTGATAATGTTTAATTAATCTTTTATACTGCCTAGCTACATGTCTTATCAGATCCAACTTTTATGATCTAACGTGTAAACTTTGTAGCTCATGTTATAGGAAACTAAATGACATGATTCTAGACATTCTGGAAATCTTAACTTGTCTAGTTCCTTGTATAAGATTAGGATTTTATCAATACATTCAGCAAACGAAATCAAGCCAGTTAGAGAAGGAACACATATTTGTATGTTACTAATATACAATGAGTCCAAAAGTTGGGTATAAAGAAAGCCTAAGGGTCTTCAAAAGCATACCCAACAAGTCTAGACACTCATATCATGTAGAGAAAAGCTTAGTTAGTTATACAGTCCAAAAGTTAAGAAACTTAGTTTACAACTTCATTTACAAAATATCACACAAGGCACAAATAACTTCCATTCTCTCTGTCATTGTAGGAGGGTTGAGATTTTGCAATCTCAGCAGCAAAGCAAGTAGTTTCCCATAGGAACACAAACTATTTCAAAGGCATATATTTCAAACCTCACAAATTATACTACACTATATTTTATGCTTGCCCATGACATCTATAATTTTAATCTAACTTAGACATGATTATGGCACCACATTTGCAGTAATAAAAGTCATATATTGCCATAGCAGAGCAACAATCAAAAATCACATTAGCCATTAAAATTGATTTATCTATTAAAGTAAACATCAAGGTCGCTACCTATGTCTTCTCCTTCTTTTCAAATCGTTTGTAAATATAATGCTCATCAAATGCCCCCTGTCCTAAAATAATCCTCGCTTCCTAGCTTTTGGTTGCTCTTGAAGTCCTCTATTGTTTCGTAATTTTCCAAACTTTGAGCTTGCCTCTTCTAGAATCTAAAGCCACCCATAGCACGCACTTGGATTGAGGAATAAGGTTGTTGCAAGATGTTTTGACTAAAAAGATAGTTTAGGTGAAGAATATAGCAAGGTTTCTCTTAGTTCCTCTATTCAACTTCCTTAACGTCATTCTTTTGTAAAAATTATTTCGTGCACATCTCACATCTCTCTTCTCGATCAGCTTCTTCCAGAGCACTATGAGTAGTGAAAGGAGAGAGTGGATGGTGAGACAATCGAACAACTGATATGACACATTTACACAACTAATCCTCATCAAATTGCTTTCCTTTCGGTGGCTGCCACTAATTTCATTTTAAAGCCTGGTCATTCTCATTATTTGACGCCTAATCATCCCCATCCATTTAGTTGCTCGGTGGCTGAAAGTGGCACAAGGTAATAAACCCATTTTGACATTTGAGAGTTTATATTTTTAAATAACTTCAATCTTTGCAACAAACCAAGTTTCTATTCATTTCTCCCTCCCTTCCTTCCTTCCTCTTCTTTTACGCCACATGTACTCCTTCAGCCATTGTAAATCGGGTTGCCTACCACATAACACATTGCTCTACTAATTAAGTTCATGAATTAAATATACATAATTTTTTTACCACTAACTTAACTAATAATTTGACACATAATTTCCCACTAATTATTATATTTATATCCTTAATTTATCCTTTAAAGCATAAGTGGAAAATATATCTCTTTAATCTTATCTCATCCTAGGTTAATTCTTTGTTTTTCTTCATATAAATACATGGTAAATTTTAATTATACCATCAAGTAACCCAATTAAACTCAAATAAATATTAATAAGTGTTTAACATCATTAATTTTTTACTTTCCTTCTTAAAATATTATATTGATGCCTTAAGAATATAACTTAGACTAATTTAGTATGATCAAGGCTTTCCATTCTCCCTAATCCACCCGATAACTTAGGGTGTCACTTGGTTAAAACCAATAACCTTTACAATTTAGTCCTTGTTAGCTTTGAGTTCCTTTTCCTCAATTTTCTTTTATCTTAGGCATCACTTAACTTTATTGAGCATTTTTTGGGTCTCAACTTACTATAATTTATAAACCAATAAATTATCTATATAATAATTGGACAAAAGTAAATTTCTAAAAGTTTTTTAATTGTTGAGATTTCTATTTTCCCTTTCACTTATCTTGAGTACATCTCTTATCCATCTTTTAGCTCCTATCAAATTGAAAAATAGCATACTAACCAAAACATCTTGCTTGCATGTAGAAGCACTTAGGTTTAAATTTTGGAATGTTACAAGTATTGCCTCATCCTTTACTACAGGGTGCTCAAAGCTCCTCAAAAAGAAGTTTAGAGGTAAATTAGGTCTTTAACCCTAAAAAATAATTTAAAGGGTCTATATAAAAGATAAAAGTCGATCTTGTTAATGTACATGAACATATGGGTAAAATCTATATGTAGAACTTGACTGAGAGACATTAAAAGGAGTATCAACAATTAGTTAGATATTTGTCTTATTCACTATTTTTAGTATTCATTTCAAATAACTTCACTAAAACTAATCTTTTTTTTAATATAGGTTTAATACCTATGGAAATAGGCAATCTTTGTAAGCTCGAGATCTTAGACTTATCATATAACAAGTTGAGCGGATCTATACCATTGAAAATTTTTAACATTTCAACTTTGAAATCGTTACATCTTGAAAGAAATTTTATGTCTGGCACTCTTCCATCAAATTTTGGGAATCTCACTAGTTTTTTTGAACTATCCTTGGAAGAAAACATCTTGAAAGGATCAATTCCAAAAGCAATTGGTGGCTTATTGGATCTTCAATATTTGAATCTTAAAGACAATGAGCTACATGGCCTAATCATTGATGAGATTTGTGAAATCACAAAGCTTGCCTATTTATCTTTAAGTAGAAACAAGTTTTCTGGAGGCATGCCACCCTGTTTAGCAAATGTTACCTCTTTACAAGACCTCTACTTGGACTCTAATATGTTAATTTTAGAAATACCCCATTCCTTTTGGAATTTGAAGGATATATTGAGAATAAACTTATCTTCTAATAATTTAGTTGGAAATGTATCACTGATGATTGAAAACTTAAATGCCCTTTTATTGCTGGATTTGTCAAGAAATCATATTTCAGGAAATATTCCAACAACTCTGGGTGGCTTGAAGAATTTGCAAGATCTCTCCTTAGCACATAACAATTTGCAAGGAAATATTCCTGAATCATTTGGAAATATGTTGAGCTTAGTAAAATTGGATCTTTCTGAGAATAATTTGTTTGGGGAGATCCCTAAATCTCTAGAGTTACTTATTGATCTTAAGTATGTCAATCTCTCCTATAACAAACTCCAAGGAGAGATTCCAAGTGGAGGAGCTTTTAAAAATTTGAATTTTGAATCTTTTATGATGAATGAAGCTCTTTATGGCAAGTCACAACCCCAAGTTCCTCCCTGCAAAAAAGAAACAAGAAAAAGATCAAAGATAAAATTATTTTTATTGAAATTCATATTACCCATAGTTGTGATAATAATTTTGGTTGTCTAAGGCATTATCCTTTTAAGACATAAACGACAAAAAAATTCAAGGGGTCTAGTTGAAAGGGATTTATCAAATTTAAGAGTGCCAAGAAGGATTTCTTATTTTGAAATCCAAGAAGCAACTAATGGATTTGATGACAGTAACATACTTGGGAGGGGCAGTTATGGTTCTATGTTCAAAGGAAAGCTTTCCAGTGGAATGATTATTGCGGTTAAGATCTTCAATTTTGATTCCCATGAAATGTTAAGGAGCTTTGAAAAAGAATGTGACATATTGCGTAATGTGCGCCATCGCAATTTGGTGAAAGTTATAAGTTGTTGTTCCAATGTTGATTTCAAATCTTTGGTAATGGAGTTCATGCCCAATGGGAGCCTTGAAAAATGGTTATATTCTCACAACTATTTTTTAGGTTTTCTCCAAAGGATGAATATAATGATAAATGTAGCAACTGCTTTGGAATATCTTCATCATAGTTTGTTAGCACCGATTATTCATTGTGATTTGAAGCCAAGCAACATTTTATTGGATGATGACATGGTTGGCCATGTGAGTGACTTTGGAATTTCCAAACTTTTAGATAAAGGAGAATCTAAGATATACACAGAGACAATATCTACGATAGGCTATATTGCACCAGGTAATTACTCTTGACATAGTGTCTCACTTTTTTTTCCTTCTTTTACATTGTAACAATATATATCTTAGCATATTATATTTATAAAAAACTTATTACATGTATATTGCCACTCACTATTCAAGTTAGCAATAGTGTATAAAATTAATGCATGACATATTAATTAATATTTATTAAAAATACTACATGACTTCTTAAACACTTGAATGTTATTGATTTGATTCAATTACTAAACATGTAGTTTGATTGATGAATGACAATTTATCAAAGTTATCTATGCCTAAAACATGGTCCCTTAGTTCTTTTAGAGAGAGAAATGTTCTTAGATGTTTCTTTCTAATTTTTCGGTAAGATAGTCTCTTGTATTCAAATAGAAAATGAAAGAGCTATTTTATGAATTTTGAATTGTTAAACTTAGTTCAATTTGATCTTTTTATACATATATAAAATTATTAAACTAATTAATATTAGAACACTAAGATGAATGTGCAGTTTGAAATGTGTGTTTTGTATGGGGTGTGCATAAATGTATGCCTAAATATGGGAGCTAGTTGTGTGTGTCTTTGTTTCTTCCATATAAAAATTCTTTTGTATATGTTCATAAAATTTTCCTATCAATCTTTAGGGTTAATAAACATATACATTTAAAAAATTCAAAGACTACCACTAGGTAGTACAACAAAACTTATTTCTCAATTCTCTATTATCCATTTGCTCTAATTAATTAAATGAATAGTCTTATTTAGCTATTAGTTATATTTTATTAATTGAATTCAATTACATGCAGAGCACGGATCTTCTGGTATTGTTTCAACAAAAGTAGATGTATATAGCTATGGAATCATGTTATTAGAGGTGTTCACAAGAAAAAGGCCCATAGATGATATATTTGTCTCAGGATTAAGCTTGAAGAGTTGGGTAAGTGAGTCAATACCACATGCAATAATTCAAGTCATGGATCCCAATTTATTGCAAGGAGATGAACATCATATAAATAATGTATTGGCATCTACATTCTCTATCTTTGAATTGGCCTTGAATTGTTGCACTGATCTTCCAGAAGCACGCGACAATATGATTGATGTTGTAGTAGCATTGAACAAGATCAAGGCCATGTTTATACATAGGCAGCATCACCGTATTTAAATTAGCATTAACATTCTTACAATTTGTGTGGTTAATTATTCTTTATTTTTTATTATTATCTACTTTCAAAATATGTTGGACTCATCATTATTTATTATGTTTGTGTGTTTATTTTCACCCCAAGCATTAAAAAATGTACTCTGCAATATATAGGTTGTTCATGCTTAGCTAAAGAGTATATTAAGCTAGCCAGCAATGATACTTTATTAGTAAAATTTATAGATTCATTACTCGATTATATTTATAAAGCATGTAAAAGAATCTTGAGCACATTGCATACAATGCATTTGGTAGTTATAATTGTGCTCTTCACATGCAAGGGTGGTGACAAGAAATATAATGTGAGTAAAGTATCATTCCCATGAAGATTTGTTTAAAAACAATGATCAAGCAGAAGACTAAGTAAATTCAATTAAGTTGAGCAAAATCTAATTAGGTGAAGTTGATTTTGCAAATTATATTAAAATTGGAAAATAAAGAAAAGCAAATGATTCTTGAATTTCAAGCACAATTGAGACTTAGAATTATTTATCCCCCTTATATCTCATAACACCAAAATTACCTTCTCTCATAAATATTTTTAATGAAAATAAGTGCTAACTTAGAGTTTTAAAAATACTTGAACAAACTCTCTATCACACCCCCCCCCAAAAATAGGGCGTGATTGGCATGAGATAAGCATATAAAACTCGTATGTCTTTAAGCCTTAATTCTCAAAAACTTCAAATTTTACACCATGAACACATTAATAAAAGAAATATGATATTTTTTTAAAATACTTTTCATGAAAACATAAGTTGAGAATTTTGATAAAAATTTCAACAAAACCTTTCCTAAAAATAAGACTTCCTAAATTTTATGAAGTAACAAAGGACAACAACTTTTCAAACAAAGGAGCTCCACTCCTTACCAACAAATATACAATCTTATAAGAAAGACGATAATTCTACCTATAGCTTACATGAAGCATCTAGGACCAAACCATGGAATTAACACAAAGTTAAAATTCATATCAAATGAGTTTTGCCTAAAATAATATTTCCACTCCATTTTAGCATTAGAACTCCTCAATGAACACCATGAGATATATGTTCAGCTATATTATCTGAGGCCAAAAACATCTTTCTCCAGTGAATAACATCCCAAATTAAAAATTAAAGGAAATAAAAGAACAAAATATGAATGGGATAAGTATGAATTTAGCTAAAATAGTAATTTACAATAGCAAGAATGAATAACTTAAATTAAATAATTTCATTTAAATACTTAATCCAAAAACATTCTCATATGATGATAACACAAGAATCAAATTCCATTCATAAAAATCAACTTGTTTAATAGGATTGGTTTAAAAATAGTAATTTTAAAATATTCTTTAGTAGGATTTTATCATAATGAATAACAAGCGTGGACACAAAGTCCTCAAGGGTAAATAATTGATCAAGCATAGCTAGAAGCCACAAAACAAGCTTGGACACACTGTCCACTAGGGTAAGTAACCAACAAGCATGAACACACAGTTGACGAGGGTAAGCAACCAACAAGCATGGCCTAAATCCATGAAATAATCAAGTGTGGGTAGACACGACAAAACAAGCATGACAAGAGTCACAAAATAAGTGCAGGCATAAGCCCATGAAACAAGTGTGAGTACTATCCTCATGAATATCTAGCTAGCTAGGATTTAATCATGGCGCACCAAGGACTAATGGATCTACCATTAGTAATCAGCGTTCTAAAATCAATCCTTTAATTTAAACCAATCATGCATGGGTCATAAAATCAATGTTTTATCTATTCACCTTATGTCATCATAAAACAATTTTTGAATAATCTCCCATGCATAAATTATAATGATAAATCATTTCTCAAGCCATAAAGTCAACAATATCAATAAAATAGTTACTTATGGATACTCACTTGAAAAATAACTACAATTTCTTCGAAATTTTAATATAATGGACATATTTCCAAAGATAATAATCATTAATAAAATTAAAATTAGAACATTATGAATATATATATATATATATATATATAATCAAGCTTAATCAATGTTTGTCAGAAAAAGAATTTATTAACAAACTATTTAGGATGCTTTTAACTTACTTGATGCATTCTACACAACATACTCCAATTTAACTACTTTCATGATTTGGAAAGTACTTCTTAACTCCCTCTTCAATTCCCAAATAGCCATAACAATGCCATTATCATTCTTCCATAATGTTTTTAACACTTTATAAAGATTTACATAATTCAGTTGATGAAATCCGTCTACCTACTTACTTATCATTGGTTATTTTATAACTATGAATATTAATGTTCAAGCATCAACTTAACTACCTTAAATTATTTATAAAATAACTCTCAGTAATCCAATTAACACATTTACCATTAAATTTTCATGTCAATTGGAAAGAAAATAGATATCGAAAAAAAAATAAAATTATATAACATCAATTTAATTCATCACATAATGTTAATATGTACACCAAACAATGCAATCGATCAATCTTAAAAAAAAAATCTCATCATTCCCCCCTATTTTATATGCTTCATGATTGATTTTAATAGCCCAACCTTTACACTACAATATATGTTTTGTGTGTGTGTGTGTGTATGAACAAATTTCATAGCTTCCAAGAACGTTACCACTTCATGTAAGTCCAATTTGATTACTCCCTTCATCAAGCACTCTGTAGACATTCTATAAGCTAACATAAGAACACCTAACTTGATCCTTGAATCATCAACCAAATACCCTTTCTCTAATTCTATTTTCAATCTTTATTATATAAAATAATTGCCTCTTATAATAATTTAATCAATAACGATCAATTTACCATACTTAGTTGCTACCAATGACCCACATCCACCTTTTACTCATTTGATCAAACACTTTTCATGTAACACTTGTCTTGAGTGTTAACAAAAGCATACCAATATCAAATAAACTAAGTGTGGTTAAGGAGTTGTTCTTAAAACTAACATAAGAAACAAACCATTTAAATTACCAAACAATCTATACAATAGCATGACAAACATTTAAAACCTCTAAGAAAAGTTTGAAGGATTACTATATAGCACACAGAAGCAAATTGGGCAAACAGAGGCAATTAGTTGCTGTCATGATAGCATTAAATTTGCTGTCATGATAGCCCTCTTGGGCAAACTTCTAGGAGGTGCCAATTCACCATCTGACCTCTAATTAATGTGATTTCAAAGCTCACATGTCACTTTTAATGAGTACTATTAGTGTTTTAAATTTCACAAAGATCCAATAGATAGATTAAAATTTGGACACGTTACAAGTTTGGCATTTTTGCTGTCATGACAACACATTCGAACCAACTTTTGGAGTACACTATTTCATCATCTGACCTTTGATTAGAGCAATTTTAGAGTCCACACGTCACTTTCAAAGAGTAATACAAGTTTACCAAATTTTAAAAAGATCTAATGATCGGATCAAAATTCGTGCACATCCCAACCTTAGCGACCGTTGCTGTCATGACAGCACCTCCGAACCAACTTTCAGAGTATGTTGTTTCTCCATTTGATATTTGATTGCAGCCCACATGATGATTATAAAAGGTTATACTTATGACCCAAATTTTAAAAATATCCAACAGTCGGATTGAAATTTAGACACCCGATATAAAAGTACAGCTTTTTGGTAAAAACCATTTTTAAAATTGTCTAAATCTTATCCTAAGGATCATAAACTTGTGAGAAAACTTTGGAAACATTAAATAGGACTAGGATTACTTAATAGAACATTTAAATGATAGAAAATTCCTTGTATCAATATTTGACCACTCGGGTACCATTTCTCAAAATGGACCCTAAGCCCC